AAATGACAGGTTTTTCCCTTGATGTGTTATTTTTTTGCTGACTTAGTCAGCAGGATTCTGCCATATCACGAGTGCTCCAACTTCTCAGGTTGGGCAAAAACTTCAAAAGTATCACCAGGTAAAATAAAGCGAGGAGAGCACATTTCCAGATATTTAATCTCTCTGCTATTTTTGTTGTAATGGTTATCACAAAAATAAAGTGGAAGTCACCTCTTTCAGCTCCAATGAGCTACTAGATTAGCTCAGGAAGTCTTACAGGACTGCACCCTTAAGCATGCCACGCTGGTAGATGTGGTGGAAGCCCCATGAAATCCCTTTGGACCAAAAAATAAACTATTACTATAGCTAAACACTGAAACAGCCAACCCCAAGAGCTTACCCTAATGTACAGTTTTGGATTACTGAGACCTACAGCTTTTCACAAAGCCCAAAGATCAATTAATCTTTATAATGGGAAGCAACTGAGTGTCTTTCACTGTAAAAAGTTTACAGTGTTGCTTCTCTTTCCCTAGTTTTACCTCCCTCAAAACCTGGTTACAGTAGCTAAAGTGAACTAGCACAGGGATACAAGAAAAAAAGGCCTGGGATATGTGAAGGCCTCCTTAAATTTGCTATCTGTCAGTGGAAATACAACAGTGAAGTGCATGGTCCAATAAAAATAAATTGAAATTTGGGATTACTATTTCTGTATCCAAAATGCAATGACCACATTATGCAAAGAACTGATCTGACAACAACAACAAAATTCCCTTTTGCAGGTTGAGATTTGTTTAAGACTTTGCTGATTTTGCATCATTACAGTTTATACCAGATTAGACATCACCTGCTCTCAAGCAGCTGGTAGAAAGGCCTAAACCTGGGATAAACTGTTTTTTATATAGTCTGGCTAATTCTATAAAAATGTGACCATATGCTCCTCCTGATCAAGAACAAACACATGCTGTTAGGTGAGCTGGTGATGGGATACAGTAACACTGTCAAATCACAGCCTTAGGGAAGCTACAAAAATCCTGGTGAATCAGGTCATCATCTCACAACTAGCTCTCAGTATTATTCCTCCTAAAGAATCCATTACCCATCCAGGACAGAGGCAATAGTGACATCAGGAGTACATGGTGAAGCATATAGGTAGAATATTGCACATGGTGCTACTTTTCCCTTAATCCCCACATAATTTAAAGCAAACACCCCAGTAAAATTGGGGAACTATGAATGGTGGTCAATCTAAGAAATGGATAGTCACACTGAGAAACACATGAAAAAGAGTAATATACTTAAATTTTAAAACCTTGTTTTAATAAGGTATTTTTACAAAAGACATCTTACCAATCATATCCTTATGTCCTTATGACAACATTCCACACTCGGGTTTTTTTGTTTTTGTTTTTTTGTTTGTTTGCTTTTGTTTGTTTTGTTTTTGTTTGTTTGTCTGTTTGTTTTTTGTTTTGTTTTTTGTTTTTTCTTGTGTGCTAATCACCAAATTGAACCCTGGTTTTACATCTGATCTTAAAATCAAATTTTATTTTTCAGTAGTTGTACTAACAGGAATATTATGTATTTAGAGGATATCAGCTTCAAATTCTCCACAAGAAAAAAGGTTTCTCTCAAGCTAATGGTGCGCTAAAGTGCTGATGGCATAAAAACAAATGCTTGTTTGGTCTTGTTCTGAAACTTAAGTCTTGCCCTCTGGCCAAGAACCAAATGTGCTACCAGATGAGTGATACAGAGACACTGAAGAGCAACATGAGAGAGTGAGACTGCCAAGACTGCACTGTATCACTTTCATATCCAAGGCTTTTGTCTGAGTTAAAAAAACTCAAGCACATACGCACAGAAAAACCACCCCAAAACAAAGAAAACAACTAAAAAAGCCACAAACAAGTAATCCTTTTTCTGGAAGCTTGTAAACCTATTTGTGACTGTACCACAAGGAGCTTGGTAATTCTCATGCAGCATTACATCTTCCAGCAGAAGCCAGACACTTTGACTTTATGCTAAAAGTGTTTTTGTATGTTTTCCATCAAACAGTTTGGTGTCTGTGAGGGATTTTGTTTTCTTTTTGGTTGTGAATAGAAAGCTTTGTTGATTTTAATTTAGCTTGAATGCTATTGACAGGCAGAAGTCAGAGCTGTAAATGAAGTGTTCAGATTACTAAATATCAACAAGAAAAACACCAGTAAATATGTATAGGATATTATTGATGTTTTAGCTGAGAAAGAGATGATCTACCCTGAATAAAAGAAACTGCTGTGTAGGTTAGGATACATTAAGAGTTAAAAAGAGAGAAAGGATACTTAAATGTACTTATGCGATGTGATTTCTGACACTACCTAATAAGTGAAGTTTCAGTTTCAGTGTGGGATACATATTTTGATATAGTTATCAAAGACAAAGATCTTTTGTATAAGTTGGTTTAGAAAATGAATAGTCAGCAAAATCATTACATGACAGTAGAATTGCATCTACATTTCAGATCTTGTTGAAAGAGAAATACCTTGAAAAATTAAACACCTGCAACTAATATTGCTACATCAGTAAAAAAAATCTATTGTAAAAAAAATCTATTGTACACATGGAATAAATGTTAAATATTGCCTTTGTCTATGGAGCTGTGTAAGCAGCATCCTCCCATAAGAAGCAGAACATTTCCACAATTAGAGTCCAAGGTCAAAACTGCAAAGGCAATGATTCTGGTCTTGACTGTACTGTGCTGCCCCATAGAAATTTTCCAAGGTAAAAGTTCATAAGAACCACATCTAGATTCCACAGTCAGTCTAGTAATCTGTACCTCATGGAAGGAGTATTGCTGAAGAAAACTAAAAGTTTAGGGATGCTCTTTTTCTAAAACCAGGCAAAATTTATCTCTGAAGTTAGTGGATGACATCTGCCCCCAAAAACTAAGAAGAAGGAAAATAACTGAAAAGGCCAAAAAGAACCATCCAAAATCCTAACACGTTGAGAAAACACTGATGAATATAACAGGAAACAATCTGGAATGGCAAAGAAATATTCTAGACAAATAAATGAGAGTTTTCCCATTACCAGTGATATCATCCAAATGAAAAAATTGCTAACATTCGATATTAATAAATTTGCTTTGGAATTTTAGCATCATTTTTTTCTTAAAGGATATTTGGTGAAACAGCATTGTTTTCTACTCCAGGGACCCAACTGATCTGTCTGCAAACTGCGGGCATCACTTAATTGGTGCACTGTAGCAGTTCTTTGCTACTGCAAAGCCAATAAAGAGCTTTATCATATTTGGGTCTGTGGAAATAAAATGCATTTAATAGTTAAAACTAAAAGTATAATGATCTAGATTTTGGACAGCTTGCATTTGGAATAAAAGGTTTACTTGTGTCAGATAGCCCAGCAGAGTTTTATACAGCTTTATAGAAAAGTGCCTTACAAAAGGTATAAGCCATTTATAAAGAATATTCCTTCTGAGTCTGAATTGTGGAGAAACACTTAGAAGGAAATGACTATATGACTCTATACCTTTGTAAGTAGATAGGGTAGGACTGACTTAACAGGGAAAAGAGATCCAGTCTAAAATTATTTTGTTTCTACAAAATCCAAAGCACTCAATGATATTTGCTTTAAAAAAAAATGTGAAGACCTTTATTGAAAGAAAATGTGGCTTTTCAGGAGTGATTTAGATTTCCCTTGGTAGCAGATACCGATGGACTAGGTACAGAAGGTTGCTTGCAACTGGCTACTTTCTCTAAATCTGTGCCAAGATTCTTCCAGATCACATAAAAAGAAAATGTTTCTGGTTTAGCCCATATGCAGCAGGCAGAAGTAACTCTTTACCTTCTGTAACAATTATTTATTCCTCTCTGCTGCACCCACTTTTACTTAGCCCAGCTGAGAAAATAAATGGGCTTAGTTTTCATTCAAGAGTCCACATCTGGGCAATCACCATTCCCCTGTGCCTCCTGTGCAATCATCAAGGCCTGGAAGGATTACTTCCTTGCTTTCATGTATACATACCACTTGGAGGAGATGGGTCTCAGAAGAATAGGTATCTAAGTGTAACAGGAAAGAGTCATGGACAAGCAGAGCCCGAAAGGAAAATGGAATGTTATAAATGGATGAACAAAATGAGATCAGAAAGATGGACCTTGTGTGGCAAAACAAGGAAAGGGAATTATTAATGGCGGAGGTTTCATGGAGGATCCCCGCGGGTGCTGCAGCAGTGTCAGCCTCAGGGCACTGTGATGGAGCCTTGTTTGCACCCCTCACAGAGCACCCGATTCGGGCGGGAGCACGTCTACTTTTCCTCCTTCCTCCCTGGCAGCACTAAAAGGAGTTCATTTGGCGCACGAGGCATCGCTCCTAAGGGCAGGCATACACAAAAGTCCTTGATATCATTAGTGGTGTCACCTTTTCCCCCTGCTGCGGGAATTTTATTATTTGGACCTATTCAGCACTTCTCCCACCCCCAATACACCTTTCTCTGTCCTCTCCCAGACCTCTCGGGTATTTGTCATTTCCGGATGGGGCCCCGCGGGAGTCGCGGAGACGAGAGCTGCTTCCCACGGTGGCAAAACGAGAGATCAGCGGGAGCTGCTGACCTCATCCTGCCCTGCCCCGCTCGAAGCATCCCGGGATAAAACCAACCGCTCCGGGGCCCGGAGAGAGGAGCGAGGAGGGGGCATTTTGTCGCTAAAGACGCCTCAGCCTCTGGGCAGGGGCGGCCGGCTCCCTCCGGTATCGCTGTCTCAGGAAAGGAGGAGGAGGAGGGTTTTCCTTTTCCATTCCCCCCACCCCTCCCTCTTTTCCAGCCAGTAAAGAGTGTGTCTGCCCCTTTGAACCGTCGGCACAGCGCCTGCGGCTGCACACACACACAGACACACACACCCCGCCGGCTATAAATAAGTTAAGAGCCGGGCAGAGGGTGAGCAGTGCGCGTCTGCCGGCGGGACCAGGAGGCTGGGACAGCCCTGCCGACCTCCCCAGCGCTCAGCCGGCCCACGGACGCCGGACCCGGGGGAGCCATGGCCTGTGGAGCGCGCTGCCGCTGCTGCGCGGAGGCAGGCGCACAGCAGCACCTCTACACATCCTCCGGAGCCAGGAGCGCCAGGAGCGGGCGGCGCCGACGGGACAGGCTCCCCGCGGCTGCCCCTGCGGGTCGAGGCGGCGGGTGGCCCTGCGGAGCCCGCAGGTGGTTTGCAAGGCGGCCTCGGCCGTGCTGGTGAAGACGCTGCGCTTCGTCCAGAACGTGCCCTGCTTCCAGGAGCTGCCGCTGGAGGAGCAGCTGCTGCTGGTCCGCAGCTGCTGGGCACCCCTGCTGCTCCTGGGGCTGGCGCAGGACCGGGTGCCCCTGGAGACGGGGTGGAGAGCGCGGAGCCCAGCATGCTGCAGCGCATCCTCACGGCCCGGCGGCACGGAGAGCAGCCCCCGCCGCGGGTACCCGCACCGCCGCCGGGCCGGCAGCACCACGGCCCGCACCTGCCCTCGGCCGGAGACATCCAGGCCATCAAGGGCTTCTTGGCCAAGTGCTGGAGCCTGGACATCAGCACCAAAGAGTACGCTTACCTCAAGGGGACGGTGCTCTTCAACCCGGGTGAGTGGCCGGGCGGGGACAGCCCGCTGGTATTCCCAGCGAAGCGGGGCTTTTCCTTGGGGAAAAGAGGTGGTGGAGGAGAGGGACGAGGAGCAAGGTTTCACCCTGTACCCCCTCCTTAGGACCCCGGGTGTCAAGCAGGGAGGGTGGCCGGTGGCGGCCAGGTCTGGCTTCCCGAGGGCTGGCACCTTCCATAGAACAAAGAGAACCCGGCCGGTCGCTTAGGGAAAGTTGGGAGTCAGCAGCGGCTCCCCGCTGGTTTCGGAGCTTCCGCTCTGCGGGAGCGTGTAAACTCCCCACGCCCGCCCGAGGGTCGCGGGTCTGCCCGTGCTGTGCCCGGGAGGTCTGCACTCCCTGGAGAGCAAGAGAGGGCTCAGGGCTTCAGCAACGAAGTGCTGTTTTGGCTTTGTGTGTAGCACTTGTTTACCATCTCTATTTGTGGACACTTCTATAGATCGCTCTGATGCTCATTATCATGTGGGTGACTCACCTTAAAGGTAGCTGGCAGGCTGGATCCGGCGTTTCCCAAGCATGGCAGTACCCTGTGAAAGTGGGACAGAGATCTTCCTCCACTCCCACTGTCAAACTGTTAGTTACTGATGGTTAAGTTTGTACAGTGTTACTTTGCATTTATCATACTGCTCATGTAGCTCCGCTTTCCATACAAATAAGAGAGAAAAAGTTACAGTGGTGAAGCTAATGTGACACAAGTCAAATTCTGAAGCTGGTTTAATAAAAAAAGATAGAAACATTATCCTGGTAGGAAAAAAAATCTTTCCTTGAAGGGTGGTCAAGCTTCGGACCAGGCTGCCCAGGGAAGTGGTTGAATCACTGTTCCTGAAAGTGTTCAAAAAAATGTGTAGATGTGGTGCTCAGGGACATGGTTTTAGTGGTGGAGCTGGCAGTGTAAGGATAATGTTTGGACTTAATGGTCTTGGAGGTCTTTTCCAGCCTTAATGATGCTGTGGTCACAAACAGCCTTAATTCTGCAGCCTCTGTCTTTCAGTATCCTTACTGTGGTTCACTGGAAAACTTTCCGTCATGTGTTGGAGTCAGTACTTCTTGCCACTTGTAAACTGGAGCAGAAACAGTTATCAAAGGAAGCCTTAAATGAGAATGTTGAAGGAAGCCTTAAATGTGACATATTTTTGTAGAAGTAAACAACTTAAAAAAGTTATTTTTATTGTCTAGCCCACTCTAACATTGTTTTGGAAAACGTTCTTCAGTCAAAGTTTTTATCAACTAATTTGTTTAACACTTAAGTGAATGTTTACATACATCATATTTGTCTAGTGAAGAAGAGTATTACAGGTCCTGAATACCAGCACAATAAGACTTTGTTCTGCCCAATAAAATTTAATATGTTTATTCTGCATAAAAAAAGTCCTATGGCAATTTAATTTACTTCTTTCCTTGAGTGATGATTACAATCTATGAGCTCTTAGTAGTCGTTCTGTAAGAATAATGTTGTTTTAGAAAGAGAACATATGTAAACAAAATAATTTATTGTTCTTTTCAGATTTACCTGGACTGCAGTGTACAAAGTACATTGAAGGACTGCAGAGGGAAGCACAACAAGCTCTAAATGAACATGTCAGACTCATTCACAGAGGTGATGAAGCCAGATTTGCCAAGCTGAATGTTGTTTTATCTTTGTTAAGATCTATTAATGCTGATGTGATGGCTGAATTATTCTTCAGGCCCATCATTGGAGCGGTGAACATGGATGACATGCTTTTGGAAATGCTTTGTGCAAAATTATAAAGACATGTAAAATAATGAAAGTAAGTCCAGTGCAAAGAAAGCCCTAGAGCAGAATAGTGTAAAGTATTGTAAATAAACTAACTTATTGTTTTTACATAGATAGTATTTTTGTATTTCATAATAAAATATTCTTCAAGATCTGAAATGAATTTTTATTAAACAGCGCTTTTGGAATAAGATTACGGTCATCAAAACAAGCTTTAAGGTTGTGGAGAATGTTCATATCCAAAGTCAAATGGTTATTCTTTTACCATGTCTCTGAACAATGAACACACTTACTATATTGTACTTTCAAGGTGAGTAATCCCTGCTTTTTCAAAATAAGCAGAAGTCTAGGTTTACATTTTAAGCATAATTGGCAGAAAACAGGAACGAACAAGCCATTTACTTTGCATATTTCAGTAATATTAGAATAAGATACTATAGCAACCATTCTACTCACAGTTCAAATAATGGCTCTATCAAAGGCTTACTGTCAGTGAACTACTTCTATTGACTTTAACAGAGTTGAAGTCTATGAAGATTCAATACTCACCTAGGGTTTTCTTTGATATAGGGAAGATGCATTAAGAATATTTTGAGGCTTAATGAACCTTAAAGTAGCTTCATCAGCTCTAATGCGTGCGGTAAAATATTCTATTCAACACACATTGGGATCCAGGAGAATGAAATAACTCTGCTCCCCAAAACAACAAATAAACAAAAATACCTCTAAAAATATCCGAACAGCAAATGCTTATTAGCATCTGGAGAATGAGTAGGGCAGACTCTGCACTTCTCTTTGCTTTTCATATAGATAACTGCTAGCTGGGATTTCCATAGTCAGATTCTTCAGACTACTTATTCCCATGGAAAAATGAAACTATTATGCTGAAACATAGTGTAACACTGGTACATCCATCAAAATTTGTCAGCCTAGCATGAAGATGTCTTAATTAAGCATTGAGCTTAACACTTTTTTTTTGTTTTTGTTGTGTTGGACTTGCTTCTTTCTCCTGAAGCAGTTGTGATTTTTCTGAAAAAAAAATAATCCTATTTTAAAAATAAAATCAGAAAGGGAAAATCAGTGATTTAAGGGGAATTTGTTGCTTTTCCTTTCTTTACATGCAACTTTCTAGCCTTTTCCCTGGGGAATATTGGTAAATAATGAAGAATGAAGTGTGACGGTGTTCCCAAAGTAAACAATATCAGTAACTCTCTCTGTTGTTCACACATATATTTACCATTAGCAACAGGTGTCTTTTAAAACACAATTAATAAAGTTGAAGCAGTAACTCTGCCTGATAGGGGGTGTGCAGGGAAAAGGAACAAGTATGAAGAGCTTTCTTTTGCTGCCACCTTGCGCAAAGCCTAATCACAACTCCTACACTGAGGTAAGGATCAGGGGGACTCTTGTTGGCTTGTACCTACCTGGATAAAACTTATGGGAAGTAGAAATGGATAGAGAGGTAGCCAGACATTCCTACAGGTTCAAGTTCATCCATAAATTTTATCACTGAGATTTGTATTGCCATGGCAATAAGAGTCTCCTCATAGACTAGGAGACCATCACTGAGCAAACAAAACAGAGCAAGAAACGCTGCTCCCATCCTGAAAATCTATGGTGTCCATAAATACATACTGCTCTGGTGCTCACATAACTGTCTGGGATTGTGTGCCATGAGGAGCTCTCAAAAAATTCAAAAGAAATAAAAATATATAAGTAAACTTCACTACCAGTGCAGACTTCACACCAGTTCAGACCATAATAGAGCAGGCTTAGTCTTTATGTTAAGTTGATCCTTTTATGTGTACACACACATGCATATCCACACCTATAACAAATATAAACATCTACATATGGATAATATTTATTGTGTATGTATAGGTGTTCTATGAGTTTACAAAAGCTTCTGAGCTTACCTATTGTCTCTGTAACATAAATATACATCTATGTTTCCCTCTTTTTCTGCAAACAGCATATGAGCTTACAGTAGTTAGCTTACAAGGATGCCTGAAATAGAACCCCCTTCCCACAAAAGTCCAAAGTGTGGTGATAAACATTTCAATAGTGATTGGCAAATGATGAATCTTGAGTAAGGACTAAACAAACTCCAACAGCCTCAGAAAAAAAAACAACTTAATTGCCACTGAGAATGTATTAATATGCACACTAGTGTTCAGACTCTTCTGCTAAGTAGCAGAAAAGACTTGCTTGCTGTACTCCTAACAATTAAATGTAATAGCTGAACCTTGGTCACAGGCCAGCATTTTCAGCTGAGCAGTCACCTTGAGACCGTTTGGGTCTATTGTGCCACTAAATACAAAAGTTTTGATGACTTGGGGGGACCTGCTTACATCTCCAGGTTTGATCTCTGAACAAATTCTGTATTCTGCTCAGTTTTCTGAAGTTGTCATGAAAAATGTGCACAATGAATACACCTTGAACTGTACTCTATTGTATCTTTCTTGGACCAGCAATACCGTTTGTCATTTAGCTGCTGTCTATTCTAATGGAAGTACCTGGGAACATAAGTAGAGAATCTGAATGGGAAAACAAATTTATCAAGGCTTTTTGCAGAGAAATGGCAAAAAAAATGTGTCTCTTCATAGGTCAGAGGAAGAGGAATGACAAAGCAAGTCTTGGAGGAGGAACCAAGCTGAAGGCTTGGGAGAACCATGCAAGAATGGAGGAGAAAAGATTGGTGGGGTTCTGGACCTGAGTGGGGAAGGGTCTGATTTTACTGTGGGGACATTGTGCTAAGAGCTGAGTAGAAGCGGTTGGAGAGAGATTGTAACTCACAAAACATGCCCGAGTCTGAGCAAAAAAGTCCCTGTGGGAGGATTTTCTGTCGAGTCCATAAAATTTGCAGAGCAAGGAAGAACCAACCCCAGAAGCTGACACAGAGGAGGACACAGGTATACTCAGTAACCTGCTGGAACAGGTGGCCTGTTCTCTCCTGCACTGTGCTGCTGCTGAAGAAAGGGCCATACTGGCAGCTGCACAGGCATGAAGAGCAGCTGCTCAGCCCTGTACCAGCAAATAAATGCTGCTTGCAGGATTAAGTGAAACTACTCACTTGCCTCTCACCTTTGAACCTGAGTGCTCTGTAGCACATTTTTCTACTGAGTAGGAAGAGTACTGAGCTAGATCCTTTTCTGCCCCACCTCTGCCCTGTGCAGGGTGGGTGAACTCTGAGTCAGGTAGCCTACATGGCCATGGCCACTCCTGTAACACAAGAGGTGATCTTTCTGGATGTCTCAGGCAGCAGGGGTAGGACAACCTGCTGGAGGCCTGAGGGAAGCAGGGGAGAAGGGAAAGCCGGGTGTAGGAGAAGGATGCTTCCATGGTGATGTAGCCTTTACTAGAAGGAGCTTCAGGCAGTATGTCAGACCACTGTTAGCTGGCTATCTGGGACTCCTGAGGAGGGAAGGTCCTGCCTCTAGCCCTGTGTGCTGCTGAGCAGTGCTACACTGTGTTGTGAGTACTGCACTGTCAGAGGCAGCACAGCATTTCTCCTCAAGCTCTTAAATGTACCAGTAAAGGCAGCTTTTTACTTCAATACTGACATGACTTCTAAGGATTTTTTTCATTTTCTCTGTTTGCTCTCTATCTCTGCCATTCTGGGCCGGATACTCCTCAGGAGCACCTTTTTTTATAGCCCTACAGAGTGTTAGAGACATTTTAACTAAGAGCAGCCTCCCAAGAAATTTAGTCCCAAAATCCCCACAGTGACTGCCATAGATAGATGCACTGCTGTACAAATAACCATTCCCACCACCTCAATGTAGATGTCCATTGCTCTGGGTCAGATCTGTGACACCGGCAGTCCAGACACCAGCTTTTCATCACAAAGCACCATGTGGCAGAAGTTACTGCTGCCTGATATCCTCTCTCCTGAAGAAATCTGAGATGGGATAATTTAGAAACCAAGTTGCATTTTCAGTATATAATTACGAGTACTTCTCTTAGGTAAGAAAAAGCATAGCATTTATTTATAATCTTACTTTTCTGACCTTAATATATAACCTTTGTTTTGATAATCTTTCTAGTAGTTTGCTTTAAACTTTGTAACATTTTGTTGTGGTGGGCAGACTGTGAACGCTGTTAATGCCTAATAAGTAGTAACTTTCCTACCAAAGGTGTGATTCTGCAACTTAAATTTTCTTGTTTTGAATTGGCCTCATATACTGGCTTTAATCTCTGATACTGTCAGTCATTTTCATTTCTTTTCAAAGACAGAACTTATTCCTCTAGTGGATCTTTTGGGCTTTGCAATATATGGCAAAAAATAAAATAAAATAAAATGAAATAAAATACCAAAAAGGTCAGTTGGTGATCTGTTTTTCCATCACTGAAAAAGCGTCCTGAAGAGTGTAAGCAAATATTACATCAAGACATTTTGAAATTTTGAGATCTGCACACACACATGTTGCCTCAGGACTCATAATATTTATTTTAAATTTTTGAAGTCTAGTATTTTAAATCTGAAATGCACAAAGTAAGATTCAATAGCTGAAACAACTAGAGACTGGCAAATGAACTTTGACATAAATATCCTTAAATCAACAAGCATCGTGAGGTCACAGGACTATAACTTGTTAGCTCTATGCAAATCCACGAATCATTCACATTGTTGATATAAATCATGTTGTTAATATAAATCAGTAGTCATTTCATTGCTCGTGTCAGTAATGAAATTGGCCCAGATTCCTTTACATATTCACAGGGTGCCTAGATGTAGGTAAATAACCACACAAGTGTTATACAAGCACACATGATACACAGACACATTTTCTTCTGTGTATGCTCATGTTATTTGCTTATTTTATATCAGGGAAATTACACTAATTCCAGGCTCAGAAAAAAGTACCTGTTCTTTTATTGTATATACACATATATACTATTTTGTCACGGAGAAAGAATTTCACCTTGTTTTAACTGAGCTGCCTGAAAACTCGACATCCAGTCTGGTGGGGGCATCGAGGCTCTGGAGAGGATGGAGAACCACAAAGACACCCAGGTACTGTTTGATCCCAGCATCCCTATTTTAGGGTGGCATCATTGATTTGCACTTTGCAGAATAAGTCTAGATTCAAGTTATACACTGAACTGTCAATCTCTAACATTTGCTAAAGTTTCACTTTAGCAAAACTCTCACTTCT